CACACGTGGACAGACGCATATGGGCACAAGCATCGCATCGACTACATCATCGCGGACGATACGCTCATCAGCCACATCACCGACATCAAGACACTGGCCGACATTGAGACCATGAAGAAACACCGACAAGGGCAGCATCAACGCGAGGATCACCTGCCAGTTACAGCTCGGGCCTGTTGGACCGTGCGGCACACTGCGCCAAAGCAGCTCTTCCCGAAGATAGACAAGCACCAGCTCAATGACGAGAAGGCCGTCGAGACCTTCAAGATGCACCTTGACGCTACTGTCTTACCGTCATGGGGAACGGACTACGATGAGCACATCCACCAGTACATGCTGACCATCATGGAAGCAGCGACCTCAGCGTTCAAAAGAAGCGGGAAGAAGAAATACCAGGAGTACATCTCAGAGACCACGCTCAATTTTGTCCTCAGCCGACGGAAGTTCATGAAGCTCCTCCGTAAGGCAACAACACATGGAGCGACAGCTAGCACGACAAAGCGCAGAATCCAAAGGCTCATCAACGACATCCACAACGACCCGACCCTTCAGATGACTCCCGAGGCGATCCACACTACTTACTGCGAGACTTACATGCTCAACTACGCTGCAGCGAATTTCCCTTACAACCCCGACTATCATGGGTTTTTACAACACGTACGGCACTGGACCGACGCCACGAGAAAAGTAATCGTCAAGATGACCAACAGGGACTACGACGCGTTCTTGGAAGAGCAAGCACAAAAGGCAATGGATGCAAAGCGCACTGGCGACACGTACACCGAGTGGAAGTACACCAAGAAGCTCCTGCTATTCGGCGGCCGCAAGAGACGTAAGCGACAAGCATACCCCATGATGAATGCAGCAGACGGCACTGTCCTCGACAGTTCCACGAGCAAGGCCGACGCAGCCACACGACACTTCGGACACAACGAAGCAGCCGACATCCTCTCCGCTCAGGACGTGGTTGACAGATACAACGCCAAGGAGGACAGGACCGAACCAGCTCAGCCCAGGAGAACGCGCCACGTCAACAACTTCGCCAGCATCTACGAGCTCACAGACATCCTTCACAAAGCGAGACCTCACCGCGCACCAGGACCAGATCGTGTATCCGACGACTTCTCCAAGATCGCCCCACGGCAGATGGCCCGACACATGCATCCGATCATCACCAAAGCAGCGCTCTTCTGCAGGGAGGGCGTAGCTCTAAAGGGGTCCAGGATGACGTACTTCTGGAAGGGCAAGGGCAGCGAGGAGGACCTGAATAACCAGCGGTCAATCACGTTGGCCAACACCGTCATCAAGCACCACTACAGATACATCAGACAATGCATGAAGGACCTAATCCCCACGATGCTCTTCTCCACTCAGACGGGAGGCCGACACCACTACAGCACGGACATCAACCACATGACGATGCGGCTCCTATCCAACACTGCCTACCACGCGAAGCACGACATGGTCATCATCATGATAGACTTGAAAGCAGCCTTCCACAAGGTAGCCAACCAGCTCGTGTACAACTTCACCCAGACCAAGGAGCAGCTGGACGACCTTCTCGCCCACATCGACATTCCCCATGTCATGCTTCCCGCGATTGAGGCCCTCATGACCGACAACGGCATTGTCAACCAACACGTGGACAACCAACACATTGTCGACATGCTCACGGAGGCACACACTGGGACTTGGTTCTACATCGACGACCAGTGCAGCTACGCAGCACCACGACTAGGTACACGCCCTGGCGTACCAACAGCCGACTTCACATTCAACATGCTCATGGCGGACGTCACGCGAGACTACCACGACCACGCCGTCGAGGATGGAGCGACTTTCGACATACCGCATGCCCCACCACGTCTCCGAGCTTGCGACCACAACGCCACACTGTCCTCTACATCCTTCGTAGACGACGTCAAGGCGGCTGCATCCACGGCAGACGGCACCATGATCCACGCACTCATCTCCAAGATGTGGGGACATCTCATACGCGCGACACTGCGAAGAGGCCTCCCGATCAACACCAAGAAGTCCAGCTTCATCGTCTACCCCAACACCGTCGCAGGCAAAAGAGCTACACGGACCATGATACGGGACAACCACAGCATCACCGACATGGGGCTCTGCGTCACCATCGCTAGAAGCACCAAGCTGCTGGGCGCGATGTTCAACGACAGGAACGACATGGGCCAGGAGACGGCAGCACGCACCATCGCGCTACGCGAGACAACAGGCCCACTCCGACGCACCTTGTTCCAACGACAAGCCATCTCCATCCAGACTAAGATCCACTACCTCGAGTCCTTCGGCTATTCAAGACTGCTATTTAACGCGGGGACATGGATCATCACAACAGCGCGGGACTACCACAGGATCAACACAGCCTACGTCACTGCGGCTCGACAGGCAATAGGAATTACACACAAGGCCATGAAGGACAAGCACATCACCAACGAGCAGATATTGGCACGTGCTCAACTACCGAACCTCGAAGACCGACTACGATGGCTACGACTGCGAGAACTTCTGCGACTCATAAAAGGATGCCCGTACGAAACGCAGGCACTCATTGACTACGACATCGAAGTCAACGGCACCTGGACGCAAACCATCAACAACGACATCCACACATGCCGACAGCACTGCGACGGCACCCGCATCACCACCGCACCCAAGGACATCATCGACTTCATCAAGGCTGCACGCAACGACATGCAAACGGTCAAGTCTTTTATTACGAGCACCTACAAGCGTGCACAAGACTCATCCTCCGACCGAGCAGCGCAGGACCAGCTGCGCGCAGACCTATCGCTAACGGCAACAGCACTGGGAGTGCTGCCACTACCCCGACAAGCAGGAACCACGACACCAGCACCAGCCAGAGTTATGTGTTACCATTGCGGTGCTACATTCAAGACCAAAGCAGCACACAACAAGCATGTCTACGCCGTCCACCAGGACAAGCACACCATAGACAACTACATCGTCGGTGACACCTGCCAGGTATGCTTGAAGTACTTCTACACCGCGAACAGACTTACCAAACACGTCAAATCGTCACGCCAGTGTGCAGCCACACTGATGCAGTTCGGAGCGAAGCCGCCAACAGAAGACATCGACGCGCACAAGGAGGAGACCCGACGCGTACGACGATCCAACCGACACGCTGGGCTTCCAGAAGACTACGCCGAGCGGCCACCCATCCAGCTACATGGGCCATCACTGGGACCACCAACCCACGCCGACCACGACCACCGACCAATACCAGCCCAACTACCCACCGACGCACCCACCACACAAGACAGCGGACCCAACCGAGCAGACACGGGAATGACCGACATCACAGGAAAGCCCAGCATCGTACTGCTCTTCACCACCAACCACGACCACACCAGCGCGGTGACCGACGCCCTCCAAGCCACCGCAGACAGACACAGCATCTCCATCGAACTCCACCACCTGCCAACCAGGCACCCACCCCAAACTGACCCAACGGCTTCCGACATGGCCACGACACCATACGACCATGCTGCCTTCTGCATCATCGACGCCGACCTCACGACCTTCAACCGCGACCTCAACCTCAGGACGCAAGAGGCACCTTGGGGACGACTGGACCTCACACCCACGCAGCACAGAGCGGTACGACAAGACAACGACAGCATGCGGCACGTCTTACGGACCGCACAGCGGATGATGATGATGCGCACACCTACCATCATCCTGGACAGCAGCCTCCGACACCTGCAGATACAGGAATATGCATACATCACAACGACGTGCAGCACAACCCTGACCACAGCATTCACTGCTTGCAACTGCCATGCAGACATCACCATGACAACGACACTAACGCAGGCCATAGAGCAAACACTCCAGCCCACCGCCGACGCATACACAAAGGCACAGACGTGGCACTATAATGGATATGATGGCAACGATTGCTGGATGTCAGAACGTCCAGGCGCGGTGCTCCTCGAGCCGCGACCTGGACATCCGCAGCCACAAGCCTCGAACTGCCTCGCATCACTTACGAATATGGCGGCCACATAGGCTCATCGTCAGCGACCTGGATCACCGACTCCACACCGCCAGGAGACATACTCACAGCCCGTAACAGGGGCACATGATCGACGGCGGCAGCGACCACCACGCGATCGCCCCGAACCATCAATTGTACGGGCCCCACATCATCACGAAGGCCCCCTCGCGGTGCGAGGGGGATGAGATGAACACCTACCAGTGACTACAGGCCCCGGCGGCCCGCCGCTTTCTGGAGGCCTCAGGAGACTTCTAGTTCAGCGTGCCCGTTGGGGGTCCCGTCCTTCTTCCTTGAGGTTCCCTGTGGCTCATGAGGCCCCTCCCCCCTCTCACTGTCGGGTGCTCCCCCTCGGGCCCTGCCCCTTGCTCTCCGCCTTCCCCCGACTAGGGGGAACGGCGCCGTTTACACTACCGAGACTGTTGTCTCAGCGACGCCCCTCCACCAGCCTCCGTCACCCAAAGAGTCGCAACGCGCCGACATGTGGTACGCGACCGTCGGTTGGGTGACGGATGCTGGAACGGAGACGGGCCCTGGGCGATCCACAAGTGATCGTTTAATCTGGCCTGGCCTCCCCTCCCTCTCCTGGTCCAGGTGGCCCCTCTCCCGTGCCCCTGGTGGCCCTCGCCTTCGCTCTGTCCCCGCGCCTTCCCGTTGGCCTTCGGACCCTTGGGCTCTCGGGGCTCCCGCATTCCTTCTCTCCGAGGCCACTTAAGGCGTCTCTCTCTCCCCTGGCGGCGGGTGGCCTTGGGTTCCAGAGGCAATTTGAGGCCCCCTCCCGAGGCTCTCCGAGGAAGGGGGCCGTGCGTCGCGCCGCGCGCGGCGGCGCGGCTCGGGCTGCGGCGGACAGACCGCCTTGCCTGCAGTGTTCGAGGAGGAGGAGGAGGAAGAGGAGGAGGAGGAGGAGGAGGAGGAGAAGGATGATGATGATAATGATGATGATGAGGAGGAAGAGGAGGAGGAGGAGGAGGAGGAGGAGGAGGAGGAGGAGGAGGACGAGGGGGAGGAGCAACCGTACTCTATTATTTATGCTGGGGAAGCAGCCGAGCACAGCGTAGTGATACAAGGCGCCGCGGAGCCCTTTAGGTTTCGCAGTCTGCGCGAACGGTGCACACAGCGCTGGAGACGGGCACAACTGCTACAACACATGTACGCGTGCGCGACAGAAACACCGCAGAAGTGCCAAAGAGCTCGCTGGGCGGGCGTCATAGCGGCCGCGCAGGCGCGCGATTGTGCAGGGTGCCGGCAAACTGGCGCTCTTCCTGCGCCGCTGGAGCCGATGCACTGGTCGAGCGTGCGACGGCTCGGGAAAGCCCGTGAGCCGATACGCCGAGCCATCGGCTAGAGGTCACCAAGCCGATACGGCGTATTGGTGTATCTGCTACCTCGGGACATCTCTTGTGGAAAAAACCCTGGGGCCTTTTTGGAACGAGCCCCAGGGCCTTTGTGAAGCGAGCCCTGGGTCCCTCATGGAACGGGCCCCAATGCATTATTTGCTGAACGGACCCTGGGGCTCTTGTGGAACGGGATCTGGGGCGCTTGGGGGATTCCAGCAAGGCCTCCGTGGAACGATCCCTGGAGGTCCTTGTTGAACTGGACGGGGTGTCCTTTTGAAACGAGCCACGGAGCCTTTCTGGATTTATGGAGTGGTCAACTGAGTGGAACAGGCCAACGTACCTTCGTGAAACGAGCTTCGCGGCATTCGTGGATCAAGCTCCGATGCCTTTGTGAAGCCATCGCTGGGGCACTTGCAGAAAGGAAGGATGAACCCTCACTCTGGGGCGCTTGTGAACTCAGCCCCAGGGTCTTCGTGCAACGAGCCCTTGCTTGTGGGAGAGCGGGGCCCGAACTCCTTTTGGAATGGGGCCCAGGGCCCGTCCAGGCTCTCGTGAACGAGCGGGGGCATTCTCGGTGGACCGAGGGGCCCAAGGCATCTCTGGAGCGAGCCCCCTGGACCCCCGTGGAACGACCCCCGAGGCCCGGGGGGGGGAACTGGCTCCGGGGCCCCGCGGTACCGACATTGAGGGCCACCGTGGAGTGAGCGCCCGGGCCGTGTGGAACCGGGCCCTCTGTGGAACGAGCTCCAGGGCCTTTGTGGAACGACGGAGCTCCGGGGCCGCTGTGGAACGAGCACCGGGGCCAGTTGGGGCCTCTGTGGACCGAGCGCTGGAGCCTTTGTAGAAGCTCTGGGCCCCTGAGAGCTGCGGGGCCCATGTGGGACGCCTTGAACGAGATCAAGCGTCTTTTTGCGACAAGCGAGGCCCGCGGCCTGGTTGGAACGAACCTCCAGGTCTTTGTGGACCAACCCCCGGGGCTTGAGTGGGACGAGCCCCTGGGCCCTCGTGGAGCGAGTCCTGGGGCCTCGCACGGTGTAACGAGCTCCTGGGTCTTTTTGGAACGAGTCCCACGACCTTTGCGGAATGAGCTCTGGGGCTTCTGTGGGACGAACGAGCACGGGAGCCCCAGGGGCCTTTGTGGAGCTAGCTCTTGGGCATGTGTGGAACGAGCCCTGGGGGCGTAGGGTTTCTGACATGTGCTTGACATGTACGTCTGCCAGTTATACCTGGGAGATTGCGGCCCGACAGGGCTCGAGGACGTAAGAGAGTTCCAGGCCTAAGTTAACAAGACTGACTGTTGGGCCCGCTTCGAGCCTCATTTCCGGGATGGCCCCCCAGACCACCAGCAGGCCCCCAAGATGCCCCCGTGGGGCCCCAATATGTCCCAAGAGGCTCCACGGAGGGCCCCTGGAGGCCCTCAAAATGCATCCTCTTTGCCCTGGTAAGCTTCCCAACATTGCCGAAGAAACCTCCAAGGGACCTCTTGTCCACGACCTGGGCACGTTGAAGTGATGGACCGAAGGCCACTTCACTATATAGCTGATCTGGCCGCCGTATTCCGCAGGACCTGGACCAGAATAGAAGTGAGGACTGGGAGATGTGAACTGATTCATGGTAAGAGCGAGAGAGGAAGATGCAATTGGTCGGAGCAGGAGGGAATGCGGAGAAGTGCAGAGGAGTGAGGGGAAGTGGAGTGGGGATGGCGCGAGTGGAGAGAAGTGCAACTGAGCGAGTAGGAGTGCGGAGGAGTGGAGTCGAGTGGAGCGCAGTGGAGTGCAATGGAGTAGAGCGTTAAGGGGTGAGAAAGTGTGGGGAGCAGTGGGCCAGCGAAGATGGCTTCAAAGGAATGTGGAGGAGTGGAGAAGAATGGAGTGGGCATACATGGGGAGGAGTGCTGGAGAGTTGGGAGGGGCTGAATGGAGTAGAGTGGAATGGAGACGGGAGAGGTGAAAGGGAGTGGAGTGCCGAGGAATAACCGCTGTTTGCGATTATCGGCACCCCTCCCTTGTCTGTGACACTATATCACGATCCGCCCTGGAAAATGATATTCCTCCGCACCCAGAAGCCTCAGTGCGGGACCCCACCAAGATCAGAAATATGACCCCAACAAGACCCAGATCGGATTCCCATCGGATTCTTGCAGGATTCCAGGAGGACTCCTGATGATTCCTGAGGGCTTCCAGAGATCCCTGAAGGATGCTGGAGGATTCCTGCAGTATTCCTGAAGGTTCCTGCAAAATGCCTGCACTATTCTTTGGGTACCAAAAGATTTATGAGGATTCCGGAGGATCCCTGAAAGGTTCTTGATGGAACCCTGAAGGATTCCTGAAGGATCTCTCGGCTTCCTGAGGATGCTGGAGGTTTCTTGAAGGTCCCAGGAAGATTCCTGCAGAGTCCTGAAGGATGTCTACGGGTCCCTTCGAGGTTCGTGAGGACTCCTGGCGATCCCACAGATTCCTGAAGCCCCCCCCCCCGCGAGTACAGTCCTCCAGGCGCGGCGGCGCGCGCTCAGGTTGCTACGCGGGAGCCGATCAGGACCAGGATCAGGAGGAGGAGGAGGCGGCGGACGAGTAGGAGGGCGAGAAGAAGGACCACCAGAGTGAATCCAGGATGCTTGAAAGCGCCCTCCCGCCCCAGCCCTGCCCACACTACTTCGCAAAACTGGCAGCCCTCCGTCCACGTGTCCGGTGCAGACCATGATTTCAGCTCGCAACTGCTAGCTCTGACCACGAGGTGGCTCAAGCGAGAACCAAAATGTTGAAAGGAAGCGGCCTCCCCTCTTGTCGTACCCCATCTATGAAGCAGTTCCTTTTTACTGTTGCTCATACTACTAGTTCTCGACTGCCCAAAACAGGCTGGGGCAGGGAATACATTTTGGAATGCGGGTGCTAAATGACGCAAGCGGTGCGGGCGGGAGCGTTATTCCTGAAAGTGCAGTGCCCCTCAGGACGGCCAGGGACACCATGCGAGGTCAAGAATGGTGTGAAAAGAATCTGCACGGTTGGGCGCTGAGGTCGCACATCGGATCTATATTGCCGAATGTCTTTTACAAGATCATCAGTTCACTTGTAGACTGCTAACTACTTTCCTATACAGCCCAGAGGGAGGGGGGCAAGCCGATTTCGCAATACGGGTGCGGAAGAACGCAGGTGGTGCGAGGGGGGCGTCATTTCTGGGACTGCAGTGCCCCTCAGGACCGCCAAGAAAACCATGCGAGGTCAAGCGGTACCGCATATAACCCGCATGGGTGGCTGTTTGGCGATTCGTTGGGATTTTGCGCTGCGTCGGGATCATTGGCGTTGCGCTGCCTTGATACACATTGCCTTGCGTTGCTTTGCCCTGCTGCGCGCTGCTTTGATTTGCATTGCATTGCTCGGCGTTGCTCGGCATCGCCTGGCGCTGCTGCGCGATATTTCAGGATAGTCCCAGGGCTGTGATGATTCCCGCGGAACCCTAAGGATGCCTGGAGGATTCCTGAGGATTCCTGCCGCTTCCTGAAGGCTTCCTGAACGACTCCTGAACTATTAATCAGATTTCCTGGGGTTCCTGAGGACTCCTGGGGATTGGTGAGGAATCCTCCGGTCCTCCGGATTGCTGAGGCTTCCTGTAGTAGAGCTGAAGGACTCGTGAGGGTTCCGACACGTTTCCTGCCGACCCCTGGCAGGTTCCCGAGGACTCCTCAGCTGCCTAGAGAGGATTCCTGAAAGATCGCTGTGGAGTCCTTCGAACCGTTCAGGATTTAGGAAGTCCACCGTCGATTCCAATCCCACCAGCCCTCTCGGCGTCGGTGGTTTAGAGCGTTTCCTCTTCCACCCCTCCTTCTTCCCCTTCGGGGGGGGTTTACCCCTCCCCAACCCACTCCCCATGGACCTGGACAAGGAAGTTCGCGAGTCGTCGGAGCGTCCAAAACGGCCTCGGCGAGGAAGCCAAAATCATTGATTTGATTAGGGTGCTGGCCCCATTTTGGCCTCCTGAGGTGGGGACCCTAATCCCACCAGCCCTCTGGGCGTAGGTGGTCTAGAGCAGATCCTCTTCCACCCCTCCCTCTTCCCCCTTGGGGAGGGGTTTACCCCTCCCCCTACCCCCTCCCCTGGACCTGGACGGGGGGGGCCGCGGGTAGTTAGAGCGTCCAAGATGGCCCAAGACGGCTCCAAGAGCGCCTCAGAGAACCCAAGATGAGCTCCAAGATGGCTCAAGATAGCGCAAGATCGCTCACGATGGCTCCTAAGATGGTTCCAAGAAGCCCAAAGACGGCCCCAAGATAACTCCAAGTGGCCAAACAGCTCCCCAAGGAGGCCCCGAAGAGGCCAAAATCGTCCCAAAACCTAAGGAAAATCAATGATTTTTGCTTTCTCGCCTTTTCGCTTCCGATGGCCATCCGAGGCCTGGAGATGGCTCCAAGATGGCCCAAGAGGGCCCCAAGAGAGCCCCAAAAGAGCCCCAAGACGGCCCCAAGAGCGCCCAAGAGCACTCCAAGAGCGTTCCAAGAGGGGTCCAAGAGGCGATTTTAGGGGCTTCCGAGGGGGGGCGCTAATTGAACCCCCCCTCTTGTTTGATCGACTCCCTCCAAGATGGCCCCAAAAGCGCCCCGAAGGCTCCCCAGAGCGCCTCAAGAGGGTCCCAAGAGGCGCCCAAGATGCCCCAAGGCGCCCAAAAAGCCCTCCAAGAGGCCCTCAAAAGACCCCCAAGAAGCTCCTTCCCCTCCTCCTCCTCCTCCTCCGATTCTTCCTCCTTCTCCGTCCTCCTCCTCCTCCTCCTCCTCCTCCTCTTCCCCCTCCTCCTCCTCCTCCTCCTCCGACGACGACGACGACGACGACGACTCCTCTTCCATCCTCCCCCTCTCGGGGTCTGTGACAGCTTCCCCCGCCCTTTGTTATTCTGCATGCTCCCCGACTTCCCTGATCACCTCAACTCCCCTGAGCATCGTTTCTGGATGGGCTGGTGGGGATACGCGAAGCGTCAACAATTAAAGCTCCCCTCTTGTTTGATCGATCTCCTCCAAGGTGGCCCCCAAAAGCGCCCAGGAGGCCCCAAGAGGTCCCAAGATGGCCCCAAGATGGCCCCAAGAGGCCTCCAAGAGGCCCCCAGGAGGCCCCCAAGAGACCCCCAAGAGGCCCCAAGAGACCCCCCAGAGGCACCCAAGATGCTCCAAGAGGCCTCGGCGAGAATGCCAAATCATTGATTTTACCAAGGTTTTAGCCACATGTTGGGGGGGGCACTGATTCAGATGACTCCAAGAGCGCCTGGGAGAGCCCAAAATGACCTCCAAGATGGCTCAAGATATCCCTAGATGTCTCATAATGGCTTCCTCTGTGTGCTGCCCACTTCCCTGATCGAGGCAATTCCTCTGGGCATCGTTTCTGGATGGGTTCCTGAAGGATTCCTGCGGGTCCCTGATAGATCTGTGAAGATCCCTGCAAGACTCCTGAAGGAGCCGTGGGATTTCCGGGGGATTCCTGAGAATTCGCTGCTCCACTTTAGGGGAATAATTGATTACTGGGGGTGCTAACGATATCGCTCGGCGGTTCCTCCCCCTCGGGAGCTGAAATTTTTGTTTTCGTGCTAGGGAGAAGGGGGGGATCGATAATGGGTGACCCGGGTTACGGAGGATGGGAAAAATGCGGAGAAGTGGAGTTGCCTAATTCGAATGGTGTTGGGTGAGAATGAGCGGGGGTGAGAGGAGTTGGGTGGAATGGAGCGCGGAGCAGTGCAGAGGAACCAAAGGGTGTGGGGAGAAGCGGGAAGAGGTCGGTAGGAGCGGGGAGGAGGGCAGGGAGGTGGGAAGGAATGGAGAAATTGAGCCGCATTGGAGTGGAGGGGAATACTGGGAAATAATGGGATGGCGCGAGAAGGGGAAAAGAAGAAAGCGGCGTGACATTTGAAGGAGTGTGGAGCAGCGGGGGGTAATAAGGTGAGGGGGCGAACGAAGGAGCGGAGACGAGTGGAGAGGGGGCCACCGGCAGAGCGGAGATCGTTCAACACTGACCTGGTCCAGGCCGCCGGTGACCTTCAGCCTAGAATCTAGAACGCCCACGCCGGCGTCGCCGCTAAGTACAAGCGGCGCGAACCTGCCGAAGGCAATGTTGAGACTAGAACCGATCCTCTGGCTCGTCCTGGACCGCCCGCTGGCCAGTTTCTCACGCTGCGTCCAGCCGTTGCCACGAGGGGGCGCCCCGAAAGCCCCGAACACGCGAGAAACCTCAACCTCGAGACTCGCCGCCGCGTCGACTCGGCGCGAACTTGCCGTGCAGCGGACGATGGACACTGCGCCCGTTCGTCACACGGGACATCCCTACGAGAGGTTCGGCGGTGGCGCCACGGCGCCTGCAGGGCGGCGACCCCTTGGAAAGAGGCATGCTGCCTGCCACTCCTCCCCCTCCTCCTGCCTCTTGCTTGCTCCCCGCCCCGCTTGTGCTCTCCATTGGGACGGGCCGAGGGGCCTTTCTGGAACGGGCTCATAGGGCGTCGTAGAACGCGAGTTCCAGCGTCTCTGTGAAACGCGCCACGGATCCACTGGTCCTGGAGCCTTTGTGGAGCGAGGCCCCCGAGCCTTTGAGCAGCGAGCTCGGGGGACTTGTGGAACGAGCCCTTGGTCGCTTGGGGACCTTGTGGAACGAACTCCGTGGGCGCTTGGGGGAAGAGCCTCCCGGGCCTCTATAGAACGAACCCCTGGCGCCTTTGAACCAGCCCCCTGGCCCTTGCGGAGCCAGGCAAGCCGCTTGCGGACCCTTACGGAGCCTTCGTGGAACCAGCTCCTGGCACCTTTTGGAAAGAGCTTCCGGGCGCTTGTGGAACCACCTCTGGGGCTCCTCTGGATCAAGCCCTGGGGCACGATACGCCCAAACACCTTTGCACCGATCCGTCGGATCACGTCGCGCGAGCCGATACACCGATACACCGACATGGGCCGATACTGAAGATCGGTGTGTCGGCCTGGGCGCAGGAATAGCGCCACGGTGCGGGCGCCCTGAACTCGAACTCGCGCACCTACAATCTGAACCAATCACCATTTGCGCTAACACCTCCGGGAACCATTGCCCACGGTGTGTTTCGCTTCAACGCGTCGTGTTAAACGAAAGGTGGCTCACTTTACGTGTCCTTACGTCTCTGGCAGTCACTCTTCTCATTGCTTTTCTTGGCTGCAGCCAGGCTTCATCATGCATTAGTCCGACTCATCTGGACTTCTTTGTGCTAACATTGCTGCTGACAACCTCTGTTCCGTTGGGAGGTGATGTCGTGAACGTAGACGGCTCTGTGGATGAAGGAGCTTCTGTCGATGTCGGCGCAGGAGCTTCCGTCGATTCAGGGGCCGCGGAAGTCTGGGTTGCACGAGGGGTCCAGTCGGGCTTCATCATCGACACGGTCTTGTTGACGTAGGCCTCGTCTGTCTTCGGCTGCTCAACGCTGGTGACCTCCAGCGTATTCGTCCAAGGCTGGGACTGGACGGTGACAACCTCGCCGTCCTCGAACACGAACCGGAACTGCGTGCCAGACACTACCTTGGTCTGCACCAGGACGGGCTGGCCGAGCGAGGCGAGGTCGACATCCTGGTATGACCCCACCTTTGGGGTCGGACGAAGATGGCGTGCTACACGAAGGGAGGCCAGCGAATCAGCCTGCGTAGCTGATTTGCCTGGCGCCTCCCGGCGCAGGAGGCGCCAGTGAACAGAAAGCACACACACACGACAAGTCAGATGGCATAAGAACTACTGCGGCGTATTCTTCGTCGATCTTTGAGGGACCTCAGGGTTTTCCACGGCTTCTGCAGGTCCCTGAGGCCAGTTGGGGGTGAGAAGTGTCTGCGGAGCACCTGCTGTCAAATTGATGTCTTGCTTAACGTGTCTGCTGCATCGGGGAAGGCGCCCAGCGGCAGGGCCGAGACCAGCTGCGTGCAGCAGATCTCGTAAACCTCCCCCCTTTCCCTGACCCCCCTGCGGGCAAAACTTATTTCCATATCCATTGCGTTTTGGACTTTCTTGGACGGGGCGCCATAAGGCCGAGGCGCACTGGATATAGATAAGAACCGAGCCTTTTGGGGCCAGATTGTAATCCATATCCAATGCGCCTCATTTTTCTGGGGAAGAGAGCCCGAAACTCCAGAACGCACTGGATGTGGATATAGACATTGCCCGCACCCCCCGCCCTTCGCCCCACCCGAACCTTGTCCACGGTGTTCTCCCACGCAGCGAGGTCTTCGGGGGTGGGCTTGCTGGCCGCCGACCACCCGCCGGTCTTGAGCACGGTGAAGCCGCCGGGCTTCTTGCCCGCCTGCTGCCCGGTGCCGTTCGCGGGCGGCGCGTGTACTATGTCCTTTTCGGCGGCGCGGCGAGGGGGGAAGCGAGAGGGGCCAGACCTTCCTCGGCAAAGCGTAGGAGACTTCTCAGAATCGGGCGTGCGCTAGCATGGATTGGGGATCCGTGGGATTGGGGAATGTCCCCTCCCCCCGCGAAACATGACGCAAATGGCGCCTCCATTGGCGACGGAGCGCCTTCTGCACGGAAACGGGGCCCGTCGCTAACCCACGCGCCTTACGCCAGGTTTGCGCTTCCTCGACGGAAGGCGGGAAGACTCCTGAACCTTCCGAGAAGGCCCGCCCATTCTGCCTTCCCGGGTGCGCCGCCGGCCTGCACCTCCAGGGTGTCCGTCCACGACTGCTCGAAGACGCTGACGACCGTGCCGTCGGAGAACGTGAAGTCGTAGATCATCCCAGCCACCACCTGGCTGACCACCGACACCGGAGCTCCCAGAGAGGCGAGGTCGATGCCGTCGTGGGTTGAGGCATTCGCCACCATCCTGTTCCACACGTCCAGCTCCTCTGCAGGAAGAAAACACGATAGCATAAACACCAGCTTTCGGAGAACCGCGCGGAGATCTTGGATCTGCGGATGATCTGCGCTGAACCCCCTCCAACGCGCGCGGAGCGCGCCAGGGGCGGCGCCGGAGGCGCCGCCAGGGGGTCCCAGCGACGATCCGAGAAATCCGCGTGAAGCTCCGACAGCGTATGTTTATACATTCTTTCCTTCCCCGATCCTCGTCTGTCGGCTCTTCCGGCGCGGACTTGCCCCCCGCCTTTGAGGGGCCACTTTTACTGGCTCAGAAGGTAAAACACCGACGTAGAATCGGCGATGCATCGCCGATAGATCGACGACAGGACCTGGATCGCGAATGGGCACGTTCCTTTTCCCTGGGCCTATATACCCTGAGCCCATATCCTCCCCGAGCCTCTACCCCCCTGAGCCTATATACCCCCTTTCGCTGCCCCTGGGCGTTGGGCCCCTCCACCCTCGCCAGCGACACCGCGCCCGCAGCGCCGGTCGAGTTGCCGGAGCTCTGGTTGGTGGCCTCCGGCACTGGGGCATCGAGCGCCGGCCCCTCGCCCTCGTCAGGGGCCCCCGCGATGCCCTGCAGGGCGGGGTCCTCGTCGTTGGCGGGAGGCACGCCGCCATCCATGCGATGGCCGAAGGCAGCACTCGTCTTGCGGTAGGAGGCCTGACGTTGGTGGCGGCCGGGGGGTGCTGAGATGGCCCAGCCTTGGATCCAGCCAGCAGAAAAGCGGGGGGAGAAAGGGCCCCCTCTCGTCGACGTGGCTGGAAGCGGCTCGAACGACTTGTGCGTTTCGACCCCGGGAGTGGTCCGTGGACGCATTTTGAACGGATTTGGCTTCGTCCCCTCTTGAGCGATTTTGTTGGAGCCCATTCAGCGCAGACCCCCTGGCCGCTGCCACGCCTGCAGACACTTGAGGCTCTTCTCTTTGCAGCACGTGGCCACGGTGACGCGGTACGGGAACTCGCCGTCCGTGAGCAAGCTGCACTTCTTCAGGCACATGCCCGCATGCTCCTCCGTCTCAGGGTTGCTGCACTTGGTGGAATTCCCTGGGGCCTTCGTCGCAAAGCGACCGCCGCCCGCAGCGTACCAAGACTTTGTCGAGATCTGCGACGGGTTGTAGAAGCAATTCATGGCTGAGGTGCCGTTGCAGCAGGAGAGCCCGCTCAGGCGGTAGTTGTGCGTCCCGTTAGTAAGGATGGAACATTTGATGTAGCACATGCCACCGTAGAGCTCTTCAATCTTCTTGCACGACGCCGCGATCGAACGGTTGCCCCCAGCGGCGAAGGCGGGCGAGGTCTTCAAGTTCGCGGGGCTCATGCAGCTCCAGCCGTGGGTCTTGCAACACGTGCTGGCAGCGACCCGGTTGGGGTACTCGTCCTCTGTGAGCACAGTGCACTTGGTGTAACACATGCCCAAGTGGGACTCCTCTGTCTCGGCGCACGAGACGTTGCCGTGTTCCTTCGGCGCCCAGCGGCCTCCGCCAGCAGCGAACCACGGCTTGCTCAGCAAGTTTGCGGGGTTCATGCAGGCCGTGCCGTTCGCCTTGCAGCACACCCCTGGGGCGACCCGGTGTGGGTGCGAGCCGTTGGTGAGCTTCTGGCACTGGATGTAGCAGAGCCCTCCGTGGTGCTCCTCGTATGACTTGCAAACCTGCGACATGTGCGCGCGGCCGCCTCCCTCGCCAAACGACGGGTCGGTCTTCAGGTTCATCGGGTTGAGGCACGAGAGGCCCGTGCCGTTGCAGCACGTCTCCGCGGCGACGCGGTTCGGATACCAGCCCCTGGTGAGGTTGTCGCACGACCTGTAGCACAAGCCCATGTGGTGCTCCTCGTTCTCGTCGCAGTCGCCACCGAACACCTTCCGGTTTCCTCCAGCCGAGAGCGAGATGCTGGTCTTGAGCTTGGCGGGGTTGAGGCACTCCAGGCCACGCCCCGAGCAGCACGTCAGTGCGGAGATCCGGTTCGTGTGCGTGCCATTCGTGAGGTTTGCGCACGACGTGTAGCAGGCTCCAGCGGTGCGCTCCTCCCAGTCCTCGCAAAGGGGGTTGTGATGAGGGACGTTGCCATCGGCTGCCTGCGTCGTGTTCGCCTGGGCGGCCGTGTTCGCCCTGGTGTTGAAGCTCGGGTGGGTCTTCAAGTTCCCGATCCACAGACACGCGGCGCCCACGCCCTTGCAGCAGGTGGCCGGGCCGGCGCGCGTGATGTACTTGCCGCCTGTCAGGTCGCTGCACTTCGCGTAACAGCCGCCAGCCTTGACCTCTTCCTTCTCCGTGTCGCAGTCCGACGCCACGAGCCCGATGAGGTCGTCGCTGCCACCGCTGAGGGGGAAGCCAGCTCTCGCCTCTCGGAGGGCCAGCGAAGACAACGGCGGCGCTCCCGCCCGGCCCAGATCCGCTCAAAATCGGCGAGAAGCCTCCAGGACGCCGACAAAATCACGAAAAACACAAAATCGGACAGAGGAACAAACAACAGCACAGACACGAACTTTCGGAGGTCCGCCCCGATTTCTCGGATCGGCGCTGGATCCCCTCGCTGGCGCGCGGAGCGCGCCAGGGGCGGCGCCGGAGGCGCCGCCAGGGGGGCGAGTTTTCGTCTATGCGCGTGTTACCTTCTTTGAGCGAGGGAGCCCGGGAGGGCCGCCGTTGTCTCGGCTGGCCCTCCTCCGAACCTTGGAGGCCACGCAAGCCCGTAGCGCACCCGCGGCCAGCAGCACGCAGGCGCCAGCCGCAACGGCCCGGTACCAGCGGAACACGTTGCCACCGCCCCTGCCGCGCCGCGGAGACGCTGGGGGCCGCAGCAGCGACGTGGAGCTGTCCGTGCTATCCGTGCCCTCGGCCAGCTCGGCGTCGTCGAGGTCCTCCCTAGACCCGCTGGGGCTATAAAAGATGACCCTGGCGGGGGACCCAACGATATGCAGGCGTGAATACTGCAAGGCGGGAGGAACGATGGACGGGGAGCTCCCTATGGGGCCAACATCGTGCGAGGGGTGTGCCCATTCGGGATAGTGCTGCCATGCGGGCGCAGGCGCAGGCGCTGGCGCCGTTGTTGGAGGCGCCGCCATGCGACCGCTGGCGTTTGGGATTTAGCTGGAGGTCCCTGTGGGGCCACCACGAAACCTACGAGGGGTGTGCCGACATGGGCACGCAGAAAGCAGAGGCAGGGGAAGGAGGGGGAGGGGGAGGAGGAGAGGAGGAGGAGGAGGAGGAGGAGGAGGAGGAGGAGGAGGAACAGGAACAGGGAGGAGGAAGAAGAGGATGAGGAGGATGATGGATGATGATGATGATGATGATGATGATGATGATGATGATGATGATGATGATGATGATGATGATGATGATGATGATGATGATGATGATGATGATGATGATGATGATGATGATGATGATGCTGATGACGATGATGATGATAATGATGATGAGGAGGAGGAGGAGGAGAAGGAGGAGGAGGAGGAGGAGAAGGGAGGAGGAGGGAGTGAGGAGTGACGCGGGGCGCTGAGCGCTGTCCCCTCAAAACGAAGACCCAGCACCAGAGGATGGTTGGGAAACAGATAAAAGTTACGTTTCTGACGATTTTTGGCCTCTGGGAAATGTCGTGCAATTTTCTGAATTTCGGGGTCTTCGCCAGGCCGCGGGACAGTTAGAAACCGACCGTACGAGGAGAGTGCCGACATGGGCGCGCGGAAAGCAGAGGCAGGGGAATGAGGGGGAATGGAATGAAATGTCAATTCGGGGAAAGTGCACAGCACTGAATGCTGAGTTCAGGCCAAACTGCTGGCCTCGAGCTGAGGCCTCCTTCATACATATTCTCTCCATGAGAGCAGCCAACCGCAGCCCATATGGTGGGGCGGCCCCTGATGCCGAGGGAAAACTCACCACCGTAGAGTCAGGAACGGCAAGACTGAGATGGCGGGGTCCTTCCGACGGCCTCTTAGGGACCAGCCGAGTAAGGGGAACAGTTCTGTCCTGGAGCCCATGACACTTCCGATTCGGGGATTTACCCGGGGAAAGAACGGTGGATAACCTCCTGACCTTTCTTAGTGGGACGCATGCAGGAACCAGCCAACTTGAAAGCGCGGCCCTGGGACCACCCCCTACACTTCAAACAAACATAGACCACACACAACGTCAACCGAGGCAGGATTTCGAGCAAGACCAGCCGCGACGATGAGGTGCCCCTGAGGGTCCTTGAGCAGCTTGCCTATGAGGGGTAGCACGCCAGCACGTCCTGTCATATCAAGCTCAGAACACAAGTTACCACCGAGGGATAAGCATCTGGTGCAATGCCACCCCGCAGGCCCGTCGATCCCCGAGCGCCACCCCGTCCTGAGCTTGGAGGTGCCGCGCATCGGGGCGCGGGGAGGGCGGGGCCACCTGAGGTAATTCTTATTCAGCGGCAGCACAGCAGCGGCTACCTTGACAAAGTTATTCGCCCTCTCAAGGGCACGGTTGATTGAAGACAAAAACGCAGGGTCAGCACCTTCGTGCTGAATCAAAGCCTTCTTCGCATGATGGTCCACAACCGAATTCGCAACAACCAACTCTCTTTCATCCGACGGTAAAGCATCTATGACTTCTTGGATCCTGCGGGCTTTCACATGCCTGACCTCCCGGAGCCATTCCGTTCCGAGGCCCTGCGCAAAAAGACGATGTTCTGCAAACTTGGACGAGGCTGCCACTGCTGAGTGACACTGCGCTGCGTGATTTTGGCTGCTGCCATGCAATTTGCTCCAAGCACCGACGGTCTGTTTGCCACCTGGCCGCACAGAGCAATCGCCGCATGCTCAGACACCGCGGGTGTCCGAGGGCAAGTGCCGCGGACTACGCCGCGCATCGCAGCCGCTGACTCTCGCTCACCACCCCTTGTCGGGCAGCGCACCTATAGCCCAGGCCGCTCTCTGTAGTGGACGGATCGGGGGCCTGGAACAGGAGCCGTCAGATGCCAATCGGAGCACCTGATCACTGGAAAGATTCGCGAAGACTTCAGGACGCATGTCAATTGGGTTGCCCAAGACATCAAACAGCTCAACCTCCGACGACGTACTTGGCTAGGGCAATTCACTATCAGGGTAAACAAAGATCCCACGCGTGAAAATCTCAAGATCAGGATCTTCGAGCGCCGCCTGGACATCCTCAGACGTGGTGCCCGATTCGTTTCTAGCTATCTGGACATCTCTGCGCGTGCATGTGTAAAGCCTGTGGTGGAGAGTGTCGACCTTTCCGCGCTCGCACAAACCGTCCGTCGCGTAACCCGAACGACGACCCCGATCATTGGTCCACACTCCAGTACACCCACAGCATTCCACTAACAAACTTGGCGTGTCGACCTAACCCCTTGGCTCTTGGCCCAAGCCGATCCCGCGCGAGATCCATGGTGGCCTTGTGCCCAGGGGGTTGCCGAACTTCGCCGCGAACGCCATCTCATGCTGGAGTTGGATGCTGATATCAATCATGTCAGCCAGCAGAGACGGGGGAGTCCGATCTACCATCACGATTAAGCCGTTGTGATCGTTCCATTCAACTGGGCCTAACACGTCCCAGCCAGCCCGCTGGCGCACAAGTACCGCCCTACGAATCGGGCCGCGAGAGGAGCTCCAATGGCCAAGGGCCACCCTGCAGAGGCTGGGCCGAGTCCCAGGGCCTAAGAAGCTCAACCTTAATGACTAGTGCTCTCTCGGGCTGGGCGGGGGCTATCCAAATCATTCTACGGCAGTGGGTAGCAGGTGCAACCGCCGGCCGAGAACTCTTGCTCCCGAGAAGAAAGAGTTTTGCTGTCAGAGGGACACCTCCATGGCATGGGGCGTCCGAGCAGCAAATCATTCGCTGGTGGGAAACCCACTCGGCCTGGCTCGGGCCTAGGACTTCAACGCCCAAATTGCTCGCATGAGCAACCCCGGCGCGGCAAACCCTGAAAAAGGGGGCTTCTTTCCTGCACTTGAACCGTTTCCGATAAAACTTGGCTTTGCGGATTCTCATCTTCATTCCTGTGAAACGCCTGGCATGCTTCGCTCTGGCCCCTACAGCACTGCGCCTGTCTCCGGCTGCCTCGTCGACGCCGAGATAGGAGACGCCGTCCTTCAGGATCGAGTGCGGCCATCCTAGCATGTCGAGAGCAGCAGTGCCGATGTCCTTGGATGGCGCCAGCAGGCCAATCATCTCGAAGTTGAGCACAACTGACATCTTCTCGCAAGTACGTTGGCATTCCGCCAGCGCATCGACTGCAACCTTGATCGCCATCTCCACATCCTTCGAGCCAGTACTTCTCGCAGCATCGTCGATGTAGCTTAGGAAATCAACCGCCGGGCATCGTGGCATGTTCTCGTCGAACTCAACGTATGCATGATCTTTGGTGGCCAGGTCGGAGTAGGCATCCCCAGCGGGTAGCCCGAAGAATGCGAGCAGGGGCAGGGTGGAGTGATGCTTGCCCGATCTGATGACGCGTGGCGCTCGCCGAGTGTTGAAGACTAACTTGAGCCAGCACGCGGGCGCTCCAGCCATGAGAAACTTCATTCTTGACGTATCCAGTGGTATAGATTCATAATAGTTTGACCAACCAATAACCCACATGAGATGGCGTCGCTGCCGTGCCCGATCGCATTCAGCACGAGCAGCTCGCGGGCGTCCTGCCATGTGCGATAATTTCCATCATGGAGAATGATGAGTCTGCTTCCACAGGATGGTTTGCCTAACATACATCGGCATCTGAATCCAGCGCAACTGTTTGGGAAGTAGCCCAATTGCTTCCGAACGTTGCCATGTGAGACTGAGCGCCCCCGCCCGTCATCGTCCAGCATCAGCGCATGCCTCGGGTGGAAGTGGTCGAAACTGGCCGACGTGCCCGCAGAGAACGTCATGGCGACCGTTCTGATCATGTCGGGCTCGAGGACTGGGCGCGTGGCACGATCTGGCGCCCAGGTGCATGGTGCTTCTATGCTTGCCTCCCAGAGCTTCCTGTACAGTTCAACTTCCTCTTCGACTATGGCAATGGGGCTCCCAGAAACAACGGGCCCTTGGCACTGGGCTGGCCCTGGAGTTGCCTTGACCTTGGCGAGCCCGTGCAGCGCGCGAGCTCCTCGAGATGCGGATTCAGCGCACCAGCCGCTCCATCTCTGGGTGGACTCTCTGTTCATGCCAAGAACTGAATCCGTCAGGTCATCCTTGATCTCGTCGAGGGAACGACTGACGGCCTGCGCGTCCATGGGGGTCGCGCTGACGAGGCCGCGCGCCTGCTTGACTGTGCAATCTGACCTCCCATGCAGACCTTGACCGTGATGCTGAATCGTTAGGGGGCTGTCGATCTCCAACAAACAGGCATCAGTGTTGTTCGATCCTTAAACAAAGCTGCAAGATAGCTGCGAGACCGTTGATTAACCACTGCCGGCCCTCGGCGATCAGCTTGATAGAGGTCTCATCGTCGAGGGCATATGTTGCATCCACCCATCTCGGGGATAGATTTCGCCCAAAGACTCCTGCTTCCTTCAACTCGGTACCTGCGCTGACGGCGACCTACTTTGCCGCTGTGACTGCAAACTTTGCCCGCGCTCGTGAAAGAAAGAGCCAGACTGCATTTGCCGAGGTCACTTCATCCGTGGCCATCGAAAGACATGCTTCAGCCAGCACCCGGTGCAAACTCCAATCCGCAGGAGGCGCAGTTGGACCGAACGCAGGTGCAAAAGCTAGTGCAGGCGAAACAATGTAAACGAAGTGCCTGATGCTGAAGCCATTGTCCACCACCTTCACTGTCGCGGGCCTGCGTGGCCGTCTGGTCAAAGACATGTCCGCTTCCACTCCTCCGAAACCGCGCAACGCTACATGTTCATGACCAAGTAAGCGATAGTTGTGGCACCAGTGCCTCCTCTGCAAGTGACTTGGGGAGGCGCTGCCATTGTAATTCTTGCTGTGGGTTGGGAACCACGCTGCTCCAGCTCATTCGCGCACATATTCCAGTCAGCACCTGCTATACGTGGACCACGACAATCTGTGAGACACTGTCCCATTGACGCAACGATGGTATAATTCATCCTGGCTGGGCCAATCCTATCCTTGAGGTAGCCATTAAGGGCGTGGAACGGCGGCCGCCCAGTCAAATCGACCAGGACATGATGGAGCCTGTGTGGATACAGAATATGTTGACCATGCCCAGGTTTGCGGAGCCCGACATCAGTTCGCGCGAGCACTGCCACACCTGCTGAGGGATGACCTTTCGCATTCGCACTGCCTGGAACTGCAGTCAACTTCCATCCACGATTCTGTGCCCACGCGTAGAACGACTCCACATAGCTGGCATCATATCCAATCTCCTGCGATAAGATGACGTGAGCACTGGAACGGCGGGCACGGTCCTTGAGTCTCTCACGGCCACCATTCGCGTTGAACGCCTCAACTGAATGCGAACTCTGTGGCGGCGGCGTCTGCGCTGGCTTGAACTTTCCAGCCATTGAAACTTGAATCCCCGAGACGCGTACAGGGGCAATACCTTCTGATCTCAATGCCGTCGACGATCCCCCCAAACCGCTACCCCACGCGTTTTTTTTTTTTTTTTTTTTTTTTTTTTTTTTTTTTTTTTTTTTTTTTTTTTTTTTTTTTTTTTTTTTTTTTTTTTTTTTTTTTTATATATATATATATATATATTCTTCTTCTTCTTCTCCCTCTCCGCGAGCTCGCGGAGACGGTTGTTGAAGGATTCATAGTCACCAGCCTCGAACAACGTGCGCTTCTCCTCGTCGGACAGGTCCTCGAAAGAACGCTTCTGCCCATCACTTGCAGAAGGGGGGGGGGGATGAGTATCGCCAAGATCGGGCGGCGTGGCTGTCCCACCTTCGGGCTTTGTCTTGAGGTGATCCTGAAGTTTAGTCCACAACGCGGACGATAGGAAACTTTGCAACGCTGCGCCATTGACCTCCTCTGCCTTGACATCAAAACTTTGCAACGCTGCGCCATTGACCTCCTCTGCCTTGACTCTGCCTTGACATCAAAACTGAAGGTCGGGGGCACATTGGGAGGCTCGGATCTCTCTGCTTCGCAACCAACTGTGCCCTCCGAGACTCCAGCGCTTCCTGCAGTTTCTCAAATTGCTGCTTCTTCTGGCGAGTCTCATTCTCGAGCTCGGTGCGATGCAACTTCGCTTTGTCGAGGTCTTGCTGAGCATGTCGGTGAGACTGCGCAGGGGTCCGAAGCGCCCTGTGCTGTGCCCTGCAAGGCCTCGAGCTTGTCTTTAGTCGCAACTTTGAGCGAATCATGGTCATCCCCAGGTAGTGCTTTGATAATCGACTCACTTTGCGCAATCTGGCTTGGCAGCTTGGACCGCTTGGTGGCATCATCACCTTCGACTTGCATACTCGTGCCATCTTGGTTTTTTTTCTTGCACGGTGGAGTACCTTCACCCGGCGCAGGCCAGGTCTTGGAGCACGTCGTGGTCGTCGATGCAAGACCGCCCCCGCCACGGAGCAACTTCTCGATGGCTTCCACACACTTGCTCGTGGCATCCTTCTCTGTGTTCTTCTGCTTGCTGTGGTTGGCTTGCCCGCCCGAGGAACCTTCTTTCGCCAGGATCTCCTTAAGCATCACGCTTGATACCAAAAAGGCGCTTCATTCCCGCACCGGCAACGGACTCTCGATTCCCAGTTCGCCGAAACCGAACACCGTCCACATGCCCATGTGGGCCGCCGCGGCCCGCGAAGCACCGCTGGGTGCGGTGGCGGCGGCGGCCCTGGCACCATGCTGGTGCCCTCGTCGTGAAAGTAATGCTCCCACAGGAGCTCACTGGAGGGAACGTTTGGGCGAGGCCGTGGCGCCTGCCTACCCACTGCTCCGAACTGCTGACCTGGCCAGCTGCCTTGATAGATGGCAACTTGAGCCAAAATGGCTTGAGCAAAATGGCTACGGAGGGGAATGAGGGGGAGGAGGAGAGGAGTAGGAGGGAGGATGGACTGAGGATCGACGCGGGGCGCTGGACGCTCTCTTCAGGACGAGGAGCCAACACCACAAGATGGCTGGGAAACAAACAAACATCAAATTTATGATCATTTTCGGCCTGTGGGAAATTTTCTGCAATTTTCGGCCTCTCGGGGTCCTCGCCGGGCCCTGGGACCGTACCGTCAGAAAGCGACTCGGGATGAAAACCGGGTCCTGGGAAGCAGCCGAGACCTGTGGGGGCCCACGTTGCGAACACAAACCACGACGTCGGGTGGGTGGGTCCTTTGGATAGTGCGTCTGTCGCACCACCATCTGGGCAGCTGCGGCGCGCGGGCGCGCGCTGCCGGGGGCTGCGCGCCGGCCGCCGCGGGCTTTGGCGGGGGGGGGCGCGCCCTCTCTTTGAGCCAGCGGAGCAATTCTCGATTGAAGGTCGGATCCCAGTGCATGTTCCCCAACGAGGCTCCCACACAATGGTTTCCCGAACTCTGGATGAGTGAGCTGTGCGGGGCAAACTACCTGGTTCAAGCTATGTGGCGCAAGCTGTGTGGTGCAAGCTAGGTGTCGCAAGCTGCTTGGTTCAATGTCTGTGGTGCCAGTTAGGTGGTCCTAACTAAAGTGGTGCTTGCTCTGTGGTGCAAGCGATGTGGCACAAGGAATGTGGTGCAGGCTATGTGGTGCAATCTTTGTGCTGCGAGCTCGGAGGTGCAAGTTATGCGGTGAAAACTATGTTGTTCAAGCTGTAAGGTGCAAGCTATGTGGTGCGAGCTGTGCCGTGCAGGCTGAATGGCGTATTTACTTATACGGAGTTTCAAATCGTCTTCCCCAGCGTTCGCGCAAACAGCCCGCCCTCCCACCCGCAACACGCGCTCGCGCAGAGCGGCCAGCTGGTTTGGCACTATTGATGTGGCCGCGATGCCGCTTACACATTGACACTTCACAGCTAGTCTCAAAAGCCGCGCTGACGCGCGGGCATTTCACTGCGGGTCGGTGGCCCGGGCGGGCACCATATTATAATGACGTCGACACGGGCGGCAAGTTTGAGAATAGTAGCGGTGGTGGTGGCGACGGTGACGATGACGACGGCGAGGCCAATGACGGCGCCGATGATGTTGACGACGATGGCGATGGTGATGTCCATGTGTCAATGATGAAGGCGATTGGCTGGTGATGGCGACAATGGCGGCGATTGGCGATGGCGATACTGGCGAAGATCCGACGGCGCTTATGGGGGCGATGATGAGGACTCTCGCGCGCTCAGAAGTTCAAGAAATCTGACAGACGCGATTCCCACCCGACAGGCTGGGGTTGTTAGATTTTAGGAACAGGCCTCCCGGCTCGCCCACTCTGCATACCGCGGCCGCCAAATCCCCAAATTCACCGAGTGTCTCCCGAGACTCCCGCCTCGCGCCGGTCCACCCACTCTGCATACCGCGGCCGCCAGATCCCAAGGTCCACCAAGTGTCCCCCAAGACTCCCGCCTCGAGCTTTCGAGGAACACGACATGACCTGACAGGACTGAACATGAGACCACATGACATAACAGAGGATCACATAACATGCCAGGACAGACCATAACGCAATGCAGACAGGACAACCAATAACATACGAAAGCAACACAAACAATAATATACTTAACTTGCTTAGCAACGCATGCTACGGCATAGCGGATCACACAGCACGGAGCATAGCACCACACATTATACCATACCAGCATTCAACGCACTAGAACACACTCGCGGCGGTGCGGCCCAACATGGCTTCCAACCGTAGCCACGCCTTCCCTCCGCTTCTTGTCCATTCACGGACCGCAGCCAGGGCCTCGCGGCAGTCTAGAGCACCGAGCGCCTAGGCTTCGTCTGCAAAGAGCCCCGCGACCGTCCGCCCTTGCGCTGTGCAGACTTTGGGACATTCGAAGTCCAGGAGGCCAGATACCAAGCAGGCGCCGCCCGACTCCTCGAGCGCTCTCGCAGGTTCTCCTTCTTCTCCTCCCCATCCTCCTCCACCTCCCCCCTCCTCCATTTCTCCTGCTCCTGCTCCACTCTCTCGTTTCGCTTCACGCCGTCGAACTCCCTCCCCCTTCTCCTCGACTTCCCCCCGACTCGGGGAAGGGGAACATGGGGGTGGGAAGAGGATGGAGGAAGATGAAGGATGGGGAAGATGATAATGACCAGAGTAAACTAAATATTCACCTGCGATGCTTCAATACACGCTCTGGCCCTTGCATGCCGTCCTGCAAGTCATCCGTTTCACTACAAGAAGTGCTCACTTGCAAGAGCAGCACCCACTTGGCCTATCGTATAGGCGAGATCCCCATTTTGGACAGGAGCTGCCTTGCATCCTTCCAGCGCGCACGGGAAACATATGACCACATAATTCAACAACATGTCCAACGACACCCCGGCTTTGGCAGAGGACTGCCACCATCCGTGAAACTGTTGCACACATTTACACTTCTGGCCATGCACTTGAAGGCAATCTCTATCGAGAGCCCCACGAAGAAAAGAAAACGCTCTCCTCCCGTGCAGTTGCGATATACGTGTGTCAACAAGCGCCCTCCGCTCTTGTAACTGCTGCATTTTGTAATTCGAATCGGCGCGGCGCTACGGTGATCACACCATTTCGAACACCACGGGTGAGCCATCCTTGGAACTGCTGTCGGCTTTTGAAGCGAATGTTCCCGGCGCTGAAACATGCTGAAACGATACCCCCATTGTGAAAACGCTCCCCCCTCTGTCCGTTAAACTGTCGCGATTTCCAAGCTTCAGTATCAGAAGTGGTGAGGAAGTACTTGGCGGGGTCGGGGCCATGACGGGGACGCGGGATTGACAATGAGGACCCGCGAGCGTCCTGGACTTCCGCAGCTTCGAGCTCGCCTTCGACACATTCGGGTTGGTCAGCAGGTTGCCGGTCATCGCCCTGGAACCCCTCTCGCCGCTCATAGCCTCGGAGCGCTGCTCCGCCGCGCGCCGACGACGAGTCCTCCCCCCCTCTCTCAGGCGGTGTGGATTCTCCGGCCATGATCCGGTCTTGGGCGAAAGAGCGAAGGAGTGCCATCCTGAGAGTAGTTTCCGCGCGAGGCGCTAACACATCGATGGGCTCAGGAGGGGGCCTGAGGCCTCGGAATCTGACGTAGTTGCCGTTGCGCGTTTGGATGTTGCTTCGCAACTATTCCTGTTCCGGTTCTGATTCCATGCATTGCCACGGTCCTTCCGCCCACCTGATCCTTCTATTCTGGCGGCGCGCACATTGGGGTGGCGCCGACCATTCCTCCCTCCCTCCGTCCTTGCAGCACATCAGTCAGACCTGCTCGCGCCGTGGCAACGAGGGCCCCTCTTGGTGCAGGATCGAACAGCGGATCGGAGACGGATCGACTCGCCAACGAATCCTCCCGATTCGAATCGACACGAAATCGGATCCCTGCCCCTCAAGCTGGCCGTGGCCGATGCTGCCGATTCGAGTCGGACTCGCCGGCGAATCCAGAAGCATCCAATTGGATCGCAAGAGACCCTTCAACTTGACCTCGCCGAACATCCCCTGCGACCAGATGCAGTTCATCCGTCAACAACGCCCACAACATACGCATAACCAGCTCTGTCCTCTTTCTCCTAGCCCTCTACGCGAGTGACCTCAAGTCCAACTTAGCTCTGGTCCAGGAAGCACGTGACATATCCTGGGCAGCTGGTGAAGGAAACACGTAGAGCATCCTTGGCAAACTCATTCTCTGTTCGCTCCACGGTACAACAACGACGACTCGAACCGGCAATAAAAACGGCTTCGGGATTAGAATTGGAACCAGAACCGGTCAATCGCGATTGCAAGACAAAGTGTTCAAAGGCGAGAACGCGAAACTCATGCGAAACCCACGAGCGTCACGCCCAGCTATTCGCCAGCATGGGCTTCCGCCATGTTCGCTCCTCCCTCCGTCGCTCTCCTCCTCCATGCTCCCCGCCTGCTTCTCTTCATCGTTCCCCTCCACGCTCCTCTCCTCCATGCTTCCCTCCTCTATGCCTCCATACTCCCCTCCCCTCCATGCTCCCCTCCTCCATGCTTCCATGCTCCCCTCCCCTCCATGCTCCTTCCCTCCATCGCTGCCCCTCCTCCGTCGCTCCCCTCCTCCGTGCTCCCCGCCCGCTTCCCTGCTCCCCCCCATGGCCTTCCCTCCCTTCCCCCTTCCCCTCGGCGCTCCCGGCGCGGGTTGTTGTGGCCCGCGGCGCATGCATTGCATGCGCCGCGGGCCGTAATAGCTGGTGACATTTGCGCTGGCGGCGCACGCCACGCTCGCGCGGATTCTGCCGCCCGCGCGCCCGTGCGCCAGACCACCGCCGCCCCGCGGAGAGCCCGTTGCCGGACGACCCACCCGCACGACCTCAAGAACCTGACCAGAAGATGGGTCGGCTCGTCTTTGGGATTTTACCGGGGGGGGCTCTCTCTATCTGTGTGTATATACATCTGTACATACCAGGCACATATTGACGGTCTGGCCGTCGCCGTATCACAGTGTTGCAAGCGGGCCCGTCGAGGAGGCTTCTGGGGGCCGTCCTGAGGCTCCCTTGGTGGGCCGTCTTGAGGCCCCCGTCAGCTGATTGGAGCCCCATCCAAGCATCCAAGGGCGCCCTTGGGGCGCTTACCTGCCACTTTCCTGCACCAATCCATGCAAACATGGCACCTGTTGGCCCTGGACCACATGCGCCGCCGATCAATTACGTAATGGAAGTCGCTTCCGATGATGGATCATGCCGTGTGGCCATCCTTCTGGTGTTCCGCGATCCGTCGCGGGAAGCGGCACCGTAAGTGGAAGAACGATGTGTTCGGCTCGGCGCGGTCCTGCATGTCCCCTTGGCTTCACGTGGGAGAATAAACGTGTATCAATTGCAGCTCGCCCTGCGTGCCTTTCAGCCTCAATGCGGCCGTGTCGCCTGGCGAGATCTCGACCCATTCCGGCGGGATAGCACAGAAACCCTGTAAAAACGCTCTCTGACGATAGTGCCAAGCCCCGCGCGGCGAGGCCCACCGTACGAACAAACACCCAGAGTCCCAGGCCCCGCAGCCGCTCTTTCTCGGCCTGGGCCTTGCCTGGCGTGGGGCGCGACTCGCTGAACAGGACGCGATCCCTGCGGTGCAGCAGTTGCATGACGTTCTGCTATTTCTGGCCGCGCTTGGCCGCTGAGCGTGCGAAGAGCGCCTGCCATTCCAGGTTACTTTTCGAAGAACCCCCTGGTTTGCTGTGTGTACCCTTTGGGGGATGCCGTCGGCTGAAGGCTCCCAGTGCCAACCGCTACTGTTCCCCGCTGAATTCTCCGGTCGTGCGTCGGATCTCGGCATTCACTTGCTCTTCCTGTTACCTGTTTGGATTGGATGTTGCGACCGAATTGAACGCCCCTGAAAAAACAAGGGGCTGGCACCGCCGCTCCATCTTTCTGGTGGTCCAATGCGCACTGCGAAAGAAAGTAGGTGCGGCAGTTGGGCGCCCCGAAGGAGAGCCGCCAGGGGCTGGGGCACTCCAGGATTCGCACCCAGATTGTGGGAATTCCGCAGTCGGTTTGCTCTCTTCTGCCCCCCCAAACTGTTTGTGGCCCAGTGCTCACCGTGATCTCGCAGACATGGCTTTGTGGCACCCCCAGGCGGATCCGCCAGACAAGGGGACACTTCAGGATTCGCGCTCAGATCGGGGGGATGTCTCAGGCGGTTTGCCTGCTTCACACCCCCAAGAGTTTCCGTTGGACCTGCGCAGTCCTCTCACTCGCTCATTGACTCACCTCTTTCGCCTTTTTCCCCACCCGGACGCATTCATTCGCATCGGACTTACTCATCCGCACCTTTTCCTCGCTCATACACAGTCGCTCATGCATGTTCGATCATACTCAGGCTCACACACACACACT